GAGTCTAGCCAATTCTTTACATCTATTTCTCTGGATTTATATAGAGTTAATCAAAAAATGAAAATTTAATTGTTAATATATGAGATTAAAATTGTAAAAATGTGAACATGTAGTTGTAAAAATAAAACTTGCTATCACTAAGTTATGAATACTTAAAGTTGTAAGGACTTTGACTTGTGAATAGCTAAACTATTAAACCCTAATTTTAATGATTACAAAATAAAGAAGTTGTTATTTTATAGGTTTTTTTCATCGGCAAATTTAAAGAAATAAGGTCTATATGCTTAATTCTTTAACTTATTCCTTGTCCTTAATGTTGATCTATTTTTTCCCTCATTAGAGATAATTATTTAAATTTTTTCTTGGCCCTTGAATTGATTTTAACTTGAATTAAATTAAATTAAATATTTGTGTTGAAATAGTCCTTGAACATGCCATTAGAACTTACTCTTATTGGTATAACCATTTCCTATCCAAATGTGCGCCTTCTTGCCCAAATATCTTCCTCCGTTCTTGATATCCAATGAACATGAACTTTCCTACTGGTATATCCGATTTCTACTCAAAGATCTAATTCTTGCCCAAATGAACAAGTTCGACCCAAATGTCCTCATCCATTCTTAGCCTCCCAAGTTCTTGATATTCCTATGAGTATATTGAAGACCTACCCAAATATATATTTTCTGCCTAAATATCTTTTGTCATTTTGGTAGAAGTCTTCTTCAATTAATGTCTTTTTATGATTAATCCTTTTGATGCATCTCTCATCTACCAGCATGAAGCTCTTCACTGTCATTCTTAAAACATTTATACTCATATTAGTATATCCCATTTCCTACCATTATATTCTTGAATAGAACATCTTGAAACTCGCCTAACTACGAGTCTTTTTCAAATTTCAAGTGATGTGTTCACTTTTTTATCATTCTAAAATACTCTTAAACATAACCACGAATAAAATTAATCTCTTATTCATTGTTTGAATTATTCTTCCTATCTATACGTTTTTGCTCTTCTAGTATAACTCACTTTTACCTTTTATCAAAGTATTTAATTACATAACCATTACTTTTCTTAAAATGCCAATAATGCATAAACCTGCTAGAAAGCACTATTTTATTACCTTAAATAATGAGAAACTTAGAAGAAAAAGAGATAAAGTCTTCAACAATAAATTTATGATTCTAACAGATTTATTTCAAGAATTATCTATAAATAGAACTCATTTATGAAGCAAAAATAAGAGAAGTGATTAAGCCAACTACACACATTCAATTCTAACAAATTTCTTCTATTATCTTCATTATTCGTGAGCTTCATTGATTTCGAATTTCCTTTTAGAGAAAGATATTCAACAAAAGTAGTTCATTTTTAAACTTACTCTATTCATCCTTGTTTTCATTACTTGAAACAAATGAATTTGAACTGCGCAAGCCTGAGGGACTTTATAATTATCTTTGTAAGGGAGAGAGTTTTAGACTAGTAAAAAGTCTCTTTATACTGAGACGACTAAAAACCTAGTTTAATCTTAGTAAATTTAGTAAGAAATCTCAAGAATGCCTTGGTGATTGGATGTAGATTCAAGTAGATAGAATTGAACCACGATAAACTCTCGATTATAACTCAGTCTCTAAATTTTAACTCTTATAACTCAATCTATATAGTTTTAACTATTTAAAATATTGGTTCCTATATTTTAATAAATAAAATTATAAAGATTAAAATTATTTTAAATTTTTAATATTTATAATAAAATTACAAGGGTTTAGTAACTTAAAATATTAGTATTAAATTTTAACATAATTTTATTTTTTATGATATAAAGACCAATATTTTAAATGGTAAAAATTATAAAAATTAAGTTGCAAGAGTCAAAATTTAGAAACTGGGTTATAATTGAGTCAAAAGTATAAGAATTGAGTTATAATAAGTTAAAGTTTAAAGATTGAGTTACAACTAAATCAAAATTATGAGGATTAAATGATTAATTTTTCTTAACAATTATGTCTGAAATTGAAATTTTTAGACTAAAATGTCCTTGTAATTAATATATATATTTTTCCTTATTTAATGACACTATCCATTTATAAGGAAAATTTAAAAAAAATGAAATTAATGCTTCTTAAAATTTATAGTTTTACTTATAATGAAAAACACTTTGTATTAATCTATAAACACTTTCATTTATTGTCCTCTAGAATGATGCTATACATTGCATGAAATGCTTCAAATCCTTGATAACATCATTTTGCATAACCCTTCATTCCATCTAATTCAAAACATAAAAAAAATTAGCACTATAAATTAGAAAATCCGGTCTAATATAGTGAATTTTATAAAGATAATTAAAAATTTAACATATATAAACCTGAACTTTATCGTAATCATAAGTGCAAATGTATGTGTATCAGTGTATGAATACAGAACCAAGGAACCAAAAAAAAAAAAATTATCATCCAAGGAAAAAGAAAAATAACAGAGGGAGTATGTAATAAAGGTAAAAGAGTTTTATGTGCAACAAATTTGGAATGCTTTTGGCCAAATAGAATTGAAATGACTTTTCCTTTGAATAAGAAATATTAAATCATCAAGAAAAACAAATTTGAAGAAAGCTTAATTAATAAGATAAAAAACATTGGTTATGAGTGAAACAAATTGATATGTCTCATTTTTTACATTGATACTACACAATTAATATAGTATTAAAGTACATAATATGTAAACTATTTATACATAAAAATTATCAAATCATTGAATTTAACTAATTTTATATGTATAATATAATTCATCACTATAAACATAATAAATATAATAAATATAGGATCCTAAAAATACCATATCATGTGGGGGGGAAAAGTCTAGTTGAAAAAAATAAAGGTGGTTTTGGTCCTCACGAGGACTTAAATTCCAACCAAATAAAAAAAAAAAGTTAATTCCAACCAAAAACTTCGGTTCCGCTCCAAAAAAAAAAAACCAAAAAACTTTAGTTCTTCCTTGAAATTTCTAAAATTCTGTATCTTAAATTGTAATTATTATTTTATAAGAAAAGTCCTCAAATATTATTTCGTTTCTTTTCTCCTCTTTCAATAGAAACTCTTTTTTTTTTTTAATATCGTATTGCTATTGTATTATTTTATTTTTGAATATTTAAGAGTTAAAGAACAAAAATATTTTTATTTTTTTTGAAAGGAGTACTGAATATATTTTAATTAGAGTAAGGTCACTTCAAAATTTTTAAAAGTGTAATTTTATCCTTTTGTCAGAATTAATTGTTTGTTTTATTTTTTTGCCACATGGGCATTTAAAAAAAATCAGAAACACCTCCTCTTCTTTCTCACTCGTCTTCTTTTTTTTTTTTTTAAAAAAAAATGGAAACAGCAAATTTGAGATATACAAATAGTAGCAAAACAAACTACAAACAATTAATCATTAGACTCAAGTTCTTGCAAAGGTCACCGCTGACTAAAGTTGAAAATAAAGGCCGAGTTTGGAGGGTTGAGGTTGAAGGTTTATTTAAATAAGAGTTTAAGTTTTGAAAATAATTTTTTTTAAAGTAATCAACCTTGAGAGCTGAGCCCTAATAAGCGCTGTAAAAAAAAGCTCGAATTCGGACGGCCTTTCAAAGCCTATTATATTATTATTATTATTATTTTTGATGGAACACATGTTTGAAGATAATGACCTGCTCACCTGATCCTACACGCATTATATTATTATGAATTTTAATTTATTCTAAAATTGGTTTGATATAATTTAATAAATATCAATATATAGTATAAAATTTATGACATTTTTTATTTTTTTATAATTATTATGTTTGTGTATTTATAAAAAATGAATTGTTTTTTAACCAAGATTTAAATTTTATTATTAGACTTCTAAATGTGTGTTGTTTAATTTCTTAAAAATTATGAGGATTTAAGTTTTTTAATTTTAAAATATTTTAATTAATTTATAATATTTAATTTTTTTATTTTTTTGAAAAAGGGTTTACAGACCCAACCCTAAGCCTTTTACATAAGGATTGGGTTTAAGAAATGGGACTCAAAATGATAAATCAGGCTTTAGGGTTCAGGCTCTTAAGGGCCGAGCTCATAAAAGTCAGGCTCTTAAGGGCTAAGCACACTCATATTCCTAGCTCTACCGCTAACATCCTCTTCTATGTCTTCTTCCTTCCTCAAGGAGCTAAGATATGTCAAAAGCATGAGAACGCAAAAACGTGAGTCACGAGCTGGAGATCTAAACATGAAAGGTTAAGATACAACAATAAGGAAGGATATCCTCTCTTCATCCTTTCTCTCCTTTTCTTCTCCTCATCTATAGCCGGTAATTCAAGCGGGCTGAAACTTATTTGGGTCGGACTCAATTCAAGCCGAGCTTACTCAGATTGGATTTAAAATATCATATTCTGTTAAAAAAATCTATATAGTCAAGTCCCGCCCTAACTTTTTTTGGCTGAGTTTGAGCTAGCCCATCAAGCTTAGCCAAAAATACCAACTCTATATACATATAAAGCTATAAATTTCAATAATCAAACTTATTCTAGTCAAGCTTAGAGTATCCTATTTTTTTAAAACAACCCATATAGTTATGCCCAACCCTAACTTTTTTGAGACGGGTTTGGACTGGCTAGTCAGGCCTGGCCAAACTACTGGCTCTATCCTCATCCCCATCTCCACCTTTGATTAAAAAATAGATTGCTCAAATTTAATTATTTTATAAAACAATAATCATAATATTATATTAAAAAATAAATAAATAATTTTAAATTGTTAAAATTTGATTTGCATAGTTTATAACTGTCATGAAATAAATAAAAATTTAATCTATAAAAAAATTTAATAACAATATACAACTGTAAACTATATAGATTAAATTTTAACAGTTTAAATTTATTTTTATTTATATGATAATTATTTCATAACATAAATAAATTTGGACCATACATTTTGTATTTAAGGTTGGAAATGAGGACGAAGAAAGGAAAAGGAGAAAAAGGATGATGAGAGGATCCGGACCACGAGTGTGAGTACCGTTGTGAGTGACCATCGGCGCTAGCTCTCTCAAGATCGGGTCACTGAAGCTCGTTGATTCGTAGTCTCATCTTAGCGTCGTTGATCCATTCTGGTCCGATGGTGGGTCCTGTGTCGGGTCCCTAATTCGCTGATTTGTTCAGGGGTTGTTTGTATGGGTTCTCCTCCAACAACTAAAGCATAGCTGATTCGTTGATTCGTTCAGGGGAGGTATGCATTGATTTCGAATATTTAAATAAGGCAGGGAAAATTTCATTTGATGATGTCAATCTTAAGGAGAAACTAAATCATTGAATGAATTTAAAGGCTTATCGTTTCCCTGCAATTTTAATTGCGCAATATCAATAAATGGTTGGTGGCTTCGTTGAGATTTTCTCAGTGATAGTTGCTGGAATCCAAGGGATTGTTGATAGTTCTGAATTTGCTAATATCTGGTTGTGTCGTGTGGCTTGGTTAATCGTTATCTGTTAATCAGTTTGTCAGCTTTCTATCTTAAGAGCAACTTCAAATTTTCTATTGCAAAGCACTTTTGCCCAGAAAATGTCCATCGATTGCTTGAGTAAGGACAGAAGATGGAGTAGAGGAGAGTGAAGAAGAAGAGCTAGAAGATGAGAAGAAGAGATGTTTCTGTTTTTTTTTTTTTAATGCCTGCACGTGGCAGATAAGGTAAAATTGCACCCTTTTTAAAAAGGGAGCGTACTAAGGACCTTGAAAATACATAATATTATACTTTGGATTTAAAAAAATTTAATATTTTATTGCAGATTTAGAAGTCCTTCTTGCAATTTTTTTACAGCAAAAGTATAATTTTGCTTTTAATAAAAAGTAAAGAAACAAACTGAAAATGGTGGAATTGAAGATAAATATGAGAAGATTTCTCAACTAAAGAAGTTGAAGGTTTCTCCACTCTAATAGTAAAGAGTAATTTTTGAAGTACATAAATTTTAAAATATGTCCATCCTAAGTAGTGTTTCAGTTAAAAATTTTCTATTGAGTTTTGGTTAGAGGTATTATTCACTATTTTTATGCTAAAACAAGAAATGGCTAAAAGGTGGATGATAGGACTTGATGAACTATATAAGTTTTTGGCATGCATTAAGGTAAATGATTTTATTAATCTCTAAAAATTCTCTTATAAACTCACGTCATCCTATAATTGGGAATGGCTTTTTTGGGTTGTTCAAAGCCATTTTATGCTATGTACCTAGATAAATTAACAATCCAAACATTCAGAGTTAACATTAACAAGTTCAAGAATTGACAAAGTTAAAAAAATTTACAACTTAAAATTTAAATACTATTTCTTGTTCAACATTCAAGTCACAGATGAAAGATAACAAATCACATTCAAAAATTTCAACAACTTCCCGATTTGCTGTTTTATTGCTAATTCTGGCCATAGGGTGTACATTAGCTAAATATTTTCACAAAATCACACTATAAGGTTGATTTGACAAGCACTCTATTGCCTCTTTTGCGTTGTCCATTTTGTTTTAGAAAATGAAAAGCCCTAGAAGTATCCCAACTCAAAAGACACAACTTGAAAATGACATTATACGGTTTCAGAAAGCTCTAACAATTTTACAAAGTATAAGCATTACTTTGTCTTCATGCTGAAGTGCAGTATATTTCAAGCCGCATCTCAAATATTCCCCCAGGTATAAGCATACTTGATGATAATTCTTATGACCTTTAGAAGCATATTAAGCTTCTTCCTCAAGTTCAATTTCAACTAGCTCAATTCAGCTGTGTATTTATGAACCAATAGTATTCCTGCTTCTCTTCCTAAACAACGAAAATATTATAAAACAATGCACTAGTAATTTAATTTGCCGTAATAAGAATTATTACAACTTAGTTCGATTCTCCCTATAAATTTCAGAAACAGACTAGTAAGGATCAAAAGCAATATCTGCAATGACCTTGCAAATAAAATATAGGCAGATCGATGGCAGCACTTGTTATATTTTTATTTTGATTTAGTTTTCATTCAAAGATAGTAAATTGAGATTTTATGAAAGTAAGCAACAGAACCAAATTTCACATCTATAAATGTTTGAAAATGATAGAGAACTAAAAAAAATGAAAAAAAACTGTGAATCAAACTGTCTATCACACATTCACAGGTCAAAAGTCAAATGTTGCATGTTAATCTCGGTGCCTATACTTCATATCGTGACACAATTATTTAATATAATTGTGCTAAACAATTCGCATACTGAAAGTACAAGCATCCAAGGTATGCAATCAGATCCTTAAACTTGTATTCCTGACAAATGTCAAAAATAACCAACATTATTGAGTACAAAGAATAGTGAAAATTACAGCTAAGAACTGCTGGAGAAATCTATTGATGGACAAGTACTAAATAATTTTGAAATTATGCTATAGTATCAAGGGATCAACAGCTCGTAGGAACTTGTTATTTTGTCAAAATTTTCTTGTCAAGTTATCAAGAGAAATTTTTAAAGCTAGTAACAGGGCTTGTCATTTTACAAATGATCACTTGTTAAATTATCAATGAGAACTTGTCAAAGAAATTTAATATGAAGTGATTTTTATAAATGTTTACTTGTTTTTATTATTAAAATTTTACATGTCAAAAGTTTATAGGAACTTGTTATTTTACCAAAATTTTCTTATCAAGTTATCAAGAGAAATTTTTAAAGCTAATAATGAAACTTGTTATTTTACAAATAGTTACTTGTTAAATTATCAATAAGGACTTGTCAAAGAAATTTAATATGGAATAGTTTTTATAAATGTTTACTTTTTTATTAATAAAATTTTACATGTCAAAAGATTATATGAACTTGTTATTTTACTAAACTTTTCTTGTCAAATTATTAAGAGAAATTTTTAAAGTAACGAGACTTATTATTTTACAAATGGTTATTTGTTAAATTGCTAATGGGAATATGTCATTCCTGAAAATAAAAACAAGTAAACATTTATAAAAATCAATGCATATTAAATTTTTTAACAAATTTCATTAATAGTTTAACAAGTAGCCGTTTGTAAAATATCAAGTAACCATGAAGCTTTTAATAAATGTTAGCATGAAAAGTGAAAACAGAGTTAAGTATATATATATATATATATATAAAACTTTGTATTTAATAATTGAAAGGATTTGTTAGCCTAGTGGCTAATAATTTTTTTGGTAGCCAAGAGAATGTGGGTTCAAACCCCACCTTAGCCACCTTAAAAAAAAAATAATCTCCCTCTCTCCCTCCCTAGTTCAGTGATTGGTGTCGGAGCTCCGATGGTGATCTAAAGCTTAGATGGTTGATCCGGCAGGGTGGCCCGGCCGCTAATATGGGAGCTTCGATTGCCAGTGGCTAAGGAGATTTTTTTTTAAATTGAGGGGCAATTTTATCTTTTCAAATTAAAAATTAATTATATTTTGGTTCCTTGGTACTGCAGCATAATTTCAGAATTATTTGATACTTGTTTGTAAATAAATTCCTCCAATAGTTCTTGACTGTAATTTTCCCAAAAGAATATCATAAATTTCACAATAAAGAATATTTGCATATCATTCAATATAATTTTAAATACCCTTTAAGCCCATACTACTTCATCTTTTGCAATGGATTAAAATTCTAGCTTTTTTATCTTCCACCATTCATTCACATGGCATATTAAACAGAAAAGGAGCAATTTTATAATAATCACTTCTCACTCACACTCACAGATTCAGCAATGAGATACCTATTATAACTTCAACCACTAAAACACACATATGCATGTAATCAATGAGAAAGAAACAAAATTAAAGATCCTTACATCTAAACAATAATGATAGAATCTAGAAGAAAGAGATGATATTGCTCGAACAAGGAAGAGAAAGAAGATGAGCAATGAAATTGACAAGAATGCACAATAGGAGAGGAACAAGGAAGAAGAATGAACTGAGAGGAAGATCCTAACTAGCACAGTCCTCTTCCGACAGCAGCAAGGGGAAGAGTTTTACAAGTTAACCCCCCACTACTACAAAATGCCCCCTTACTTGACGATTATTTTAAAAATTATTTGACGGTTTTTAACCGTCAAGTAATAAAGCATCACATATTTATTTGATGGTTAAAAACCGTCAAATATTTTAGAGATTACTTGACGGTTATTTCAAAATAACCGTCAAATAATCACTTAAACATTTGCATATACTGCAACAATATACTTGACGGTTATTTTAAATAACCGTCAAGTATTTAGTAATATTTGACGGTTATTTTGTAACAAGCATCAAATATGCTTTCGCAAATTCTGTGTGCCAAGTACTTGACGGTTATTTCATAATAACCATCAAGTATTCGTACACACTTGACGGTTATTTTGAAGTAATCGTCAAGTAAACTTATACTTGACGTTTCTTTCTAAATAACCGTCAAGTATTTATGATGTGTTTTTTTAAAAGCTGGGGACTGCTTCCCCTATAAATACAAAGCAATCAAATATATATACCAGCCAGCCAACAATAAAAAATAATTGAATCATTATTTATATTGAAATTACAATCTAAATATCTTTAATTTATCTTATATCTACCTATACTCTAAACCCGATGCCATAAAAAAATCTATAACTTTACCTACTTTACAAGTTTAAATTTCAAAATTAATTGGCCTTAGCATAAAATTGGCTAAAAAAATAAATGTGTACACCAAAACTAATTGGGCCTAACCATTGCTGCTATCCACATGTTAAACACAGCCTGAGCTACCTCTTCAAGGGTTTTCTCTATATGTGCAGCTGCATACTGAATACAGTAGGCATCCTCAAAGTACTGTATGCAAAGAGTTATAATAAATTCAAGTTAATAGCTATCTAACAAAAGTTATTAAAATTTATAATTTAAGTATCATTATATTTAATATATACCTTGTTAGGTAATGTGGTAGGGGCATGGGTGATAATGTCCTTCAAGAATCTCATCAAGCAATAGCCACAGTCATTGCTTTGATCTGGCTGGAGTGGACACTGTGCAAAAAAATTACATATCAATAAAATAATAGTTAAAAGGCCACGATTTGTTAATTAAAAACTCAATCCATTAGGTTTACCTTAACTGTGACCCATGTCTCACAAGAGTCCAATACCCTTAAGCCAAGGGACAAGGTCTTGTTGGTCGTAGTTCGATACAAGACCACAGCTCTAAGAAGGAAATAAAGAATAAATGTTAGAAATTCAATATATATGGATATTAAAATAATAATTAATAAAAATTCAACTTACTTATTAAAAAATTCTACCATATCTGGCCTATTGCTTGGTTTTCCATTAAGAGGATCAAGATACCAAATTTTTGAAGCAATAGGGTTAACCACAATAAGCATCCAGTGCCCCTTAATAAGAAATAACAAGTGTTATCAAATAAGTAAATATAAAAAATATTTACTTGTACCAAAAGTAACTAGAAAGTGGCTTACCCTTGACAGTAAGGAGCAAGAAATAAAGTATCATTGCTTGCTCCCCTATCCTTAAATTGATTTGAAAGCTGCCTTGCTTGATCTTCAAGAGCTTCCTTTGTAATTCCATTATAGGCAGAGACATCGTGGGGATTAATCAGCTTCAATCTCGACTCAAGGCCACCAGGAATCACAAATGAGGTATAAAGGTGGCTTAAGTAAAAAAATAACTAGGTTAATACACACACGTGCACACATACATATATATAATTTAAGTAATTAACTGAGCATTATCAAAGAAATACCTCATGTAGAAGCTCATCAGACTAGTACTAGCCATTTCGTGCTTGAGAATTTCATT